GGGGTTTCACCCTGTTGACCAGGATGGTCTCGATCTCTTGACCTTGTGATCCACCCGCCTCGGCCTCCCAAAGTGCTGGGATTACAGGCGTGAGCCACCGTGCCCGGCCTCTTTTTTTTTTCTTTTGGAGACAGAGTCTTGCTCTGTCACCCAGGCTGGAGTACAGTGGCACCATCTCGGCTCACTGCAACCTCCGCCTCCCAGGTTCAAGCGATTCTCCTGCCTCAGCCTCCCGAGTAGCTGGGATTACAGGTGCCCGCCACCATGCCTGGCTAATTTTTTATTTTTAGTAGAGACGGGGTGGGTTTTGTCATGTTGGCCAGGCTGGTCTTGAACTCCTGACCTCATGATCCACCTGCCTTGGCCTCCCAAAGTGTGGGGATGACAGGTGTGAGCCACTGCACCTGGCCCCAGAATCCCATTTCTGAAGTCAGATTTGCCTTTTCTGCCTAAGCCACTTGACCCTCTCATGCCAGGAAAACAGGAGCAGAGCTCGTCAGATGGGGAATGCCTAAAACTCCCCACCTTCCAACCCCAAGCTCTCAGTCAGCCGTGCGGGGAATTTTTCTGAAACATTCGCTATGAGGTCTCTAAGGCAGAAGAGAGCCTCCTTGGAAGAGTATATATATATTTTTTGAGTCATAGTCTTGCTCTGTGGCCAGACTGGAGTGCAGTGGTACAATCTCGATTCACTGCAGCCTCGACCTCCTGGGCTCAAGCAATCCTCCGGCCGCAGCCTCCCAAAGCACTAGGATTACAAGTGTGTGCCACTGTATCTGGCACGCTCTTGCACTTCTTTTCTTCCTTTTTTTTTTTTTTTTTGAGACGAAGTCTTGCTCTGTCACCAAGGCTGGAGTGCAGTGGCGCGATCTCGGCTCACTGCAATCTCCACCTCCTGGGTTTAAGCGATTCTCCTGCCTCAGCCTCCCGAGGAGCTGGGACTACAGGCACATACCACCAAGCCTACCTCCTTTTTTTGTATTTTTACTAGAGACAGAGTTTCACAATGTTGGCAGGATGGTCTCGATCTCCTGACCTTGTGATATGCCCGCCTCAGCCTCCCAAAGCGCTGGGATTACAGACATGAGCCACCGTGCCTGTAGAGATGAAGTTTCGTCATGTTGGCCAGGCTGGTCTCAACCTCCCCTTTTTTTTTTTTTTTTTTTAACAAGACACGGTCTTGCTGTGTTGCCCAGGCTGGAGTACAGTGGCTATTCACAGGTGCAATCCCACTACTGATTAGCAGGGGAGTTTTGACCTGCTCCGTTTCGGACCTGGGCTAGGTCACCCCTCCTTAGGCAACCTGGTGGTCCCCCACTCCCGGGAGGTCACCATATTGATGCCAAACTTAGTTTGGACACCCGATAGGCATAGCGCACTACAGCCCAGAACTCTTGGCTCAAGCGATCCTCCCACCTCAGCCTCCCAAGTAGCTGGGACTACAGACACGCACCACCGCACCCGGCTTGAACTCCCAACCTCAAGTGATCTGCCCACCTTGGCCTCCCAAAGTGCTAGGATAACATGCGTGAACCACCGCGCCCAGCCTCCCTCTCGCACTCCTGAAAACAGCCAGCAAACCAACCAACCAACCAGACATCCAGCTTCCCCTACACGAAAGCAAGACCAGGCCTGGAAAGGAACTGAATCCAGGAGAACAGAAAAGAAAGGTGGGTTTTTTCTCATGAGTCAAAACCCAGATCATCCCACACATGCAGGGAAGTGGATGACTCGCTCCTCAAGACACCACTGTGGGCTCTGGAGGCTGCAGCCTTCAGCAGCCCCTCGGATCTGCCTCCCAGCTCCTCTTCTGTAAAAGGGGGCTACTCGAAGCCCCTGTGACTTCATGAGGCACAGGAAGGAAGGGGGTCGTGATCGCAGCCTCGAGGCCGCCCAAGGCACTCCCTCCTGCCTGTGCAACTCCCAAAGCAGAAAGCACAGATGGAATGTGAAACACGCAAAACCCACATTTCAACATTTACCGAACCATCTGCTTTGAATACGGGCAGTTTATTGCATGTCAATTAAACCCACATAAACTGTTAAGGAGAAAACGAAGAAAAAAGCAAGTGCAAAAAAGCAGTGTGGGCTGTGCGCGGTGGCTCACGCCTGCAATCCCAGCGCTCTGGTAGGCCGAGGTGGGTGGATCACCTGAGGTACGGAGTTCGAGACCAGCCTGGCTAGCACGGTGAAACCCCGTCTCTACTAAAAATACAAAAATTAGTTGGGTGTGGTGTCATGCGCCTGTAATCCCAGCTACTCAGGAGGCTGAGGCAGGAGCACCACTTGAACCTGGGAGGCAGAGTTTGCAGTGTGCAGAGATGGCACCCTGCACTCCAGCCTGGGTGACAAAGCGACACTCCAGACGCCATCTCAAAAACAAACATACAAAAAGCAGTGTGTACAAAGACTGGAAATCTTATCCCCAAGATAAGCCGTGGCTCTGGAGCGCTGATTTTCTGCAATGTGATTGCATTTTCCAATCTCCCCTATTTCCCCTCCCTTCTCAGTGACTCCTTATAAAATGCACCATTTCTTACACTTTCTTTTTTGTTTGTTTGTTTTTGGAGAACGAGTTTTGTTCCTGTCGCCCAGGCTGGCAGGCTGGAGTGCAGTGGCATGATCTCAGCTCACCACAATCTCCACCTCGAAGGTTCAAGCGATTCTCCTGCCTCAGCCTCCCAAGTAGCTGGGATTACAGGCAGGTGCCATCACACCCAGCTAATTTTTCTATTTTTAGTAGAGACAGAGTTTACCATGTTGGCCAGGCTGGTCTCGAACCCCTGACCTCAGGTGATCCACCCACCTCGGCCTCACAAAGTGTTGGGATTACAGGCGTGAGCCCCCGAGCCCAGTCTGTCGCTTACACTTTCAATACCCTCTTTGCTGCAGAAGGGCCGCTTCGGCCAGGCGCGGTGGCTCACGCCTGTAATCCTAGCACTTTGGGAGGCCGAGGTGGGTGGATCACCTGAGGTCAGGGGTTTGAGACCAGCCTGGCCATCATAGGGAAACCCCATCTTTAAAAAAAAAAAAAAAAAAAAAAAAAAAAAAAAAAGGGCTGCTTTGAAAAAGCCCGACCACCCTGGGCCCTGGGGGTCCTGAAGCCCTGCGAAATTTTAATCCACACCGGGAGGCAAGAGGTCCTGGGGGAGGACAGTGGATCGGGACCAGGAGTTGACCCCGCAGCTGGACCCCACCCCCTGTATCCCCCTTCCGGGGAGGCGGGGGATCGGTCTCCCCGCCGCCCGCGTTCGCCCCTCCCGAGGGATCAGCCTCCCTCCCCGCCTGCGTTCAGCCTTCCTGAAGGATCCTGCTTTCTCGCCGCCTAAGTTCGCCCTTCCTCCCCCACACCCCCGGCTCCTGTGGCCCAGGCTGGCGTGAAGTAGCGCGATCTCACTGCAACCTCCGCCTCCCGGGTTCAGGCGATTCTCCTGTCTCAGCCTCGCGCGTAGCTGGGATTACAGGCGCCTGCCACCGCGCCCGGCTTATTTTGTATTTTTAGTAGAGACGGCGTTTCGCCATGTTGGCTGGTCTCGAACCCCTGACCTCAGGCGATCTGCCCGCCTCGGCCTCCCAAAGTTCTGGGATGACAGGCGTGAGGCACCGCGCCCAGCCTCGCCCTTCCTGAAGGCTCGGCCTCCCCGCCGCCTAAGTCCGCCTTTCCTGAGGGATCCGGCTTCCCGCCGCCTAATTTCGCCCCTCCCGGCACCCACCTGGCCTCCCTTGCCGCCCGCCTTCGCCCCACCCGGCACCCACCTGATCGTCTCACAGCCGCCGCGGAGGGACACTGCCGCGGAGGACGCCTCACACGCGCGCCCGGCCGCACCCGCGGGTCGGGCCTACTTTCCTTAAAGGGCCCGGGGCTCTGCGCAGAAGCGACGTGCAGGAGTCTCCTGGAGACTCTGTCCCGCGGGCTCTAGGACCCCCAAGCGGCGAAGGCGCGCGGAGCCACGTTCCGGCCAGCAGCCCTGGGACGCCCGGAGAACTGGCCAGGCCGCGCGAGGCCGGGCGGAGCTCTCCGTTGCCTGGCAACCGGGGCTGCGGCCTGTGGGCGGAGCTTGCACCGTGGTTAGGAAACGGGGCGGGGCCTCAGTGGGAGCCGGCCGAGGAGCCCGCACTGGCCACTGGCGCATGCGTGGGACGCGGCATGGCGGTGGGCCCAACAAGGAGTGGAGTTTCTCTGAGGGGCCGCTCTTGAGCGGGGCTGGACCCAGGAGGGGGCGGGGCCTGTGCTGGTTGGGTGAGCGGGGGAGGAGGCGCGGCCTAGTGCGTGGTGGGCGTCGTTGGTTGGTGCGAGGCGAAGGGGCGTGGCACAGGAGGCGCCGTTGGTTGGTGTGCGGCGGAGGGGCGTGGCATAGGAAGCGCCGTTGGTTGGTGCGTGGCTGAGGGGAGTGGCGCGAGCAGCGCCGTTGGTTGGCTGGCGGCGGGCGGGACGGGCATGGCCCTGTTGCTGTGCCTGGTGGGCATGACGGCGGCGCTGGCCCACGGCTGCCTGCACTGCCAGAGCAACTTCTCCGAGAAGTTCTCCTTCTACCGCCACCATGTGAACCTCAAGTCTTGGTGGGTGGGCGACATCCCCGTGTCAGGGGCGTTACTCACCGACTGGAGCGACAACACTATGAAGGAGCTGCACCTGACCATCCCCGCCGAGATCAGTGAGCGCCGGAGCCCAGCCCAGTCCCGAACACCCCCCCAGCGAAAACCCCGGGCAGGCCGCTCACCTGGCTCCTCCTCCCGCCCGCAGCCTGGGAGAAGCTGGACCAAGTGGCGAGAGCCGTGTACCAGAGGATGGATCAGCTGTACCAGGGGAAGATGTACTTCCCGGGTAAGGGGCGGGAAACCGAGGTGGGGCCTGCCCGTCCCAGGACACCCCGCCCACCGCCTGAGCCTGACCTTTTGCCGCGGCTCCTCAGGATATTTCCCCAATGAGCTGCGAAACATTTTCCGGGAGCAGGTGCAACTCCTCCAGAACGCCATCATCGAAAGTGAGCAAATAAGGCTTCAGGGGAGGGAGGTTCTGCCCAGAGCCTCAGAGACCTACGGGGCTTGGCTTAGGCTGGAGTGACATGAGCAGGGCACTGGGCAGCTGGAGAGGAGGGCAGCTCCCCAGGGAGGGACCCAGCCCAACGCCTGAAGGATCAATGCTATCACCCCCCGGGGACCTCCCCTAAGTAGCCCCCAGAGGTGCTGGGAGTATTCCCACCGCCCTCCCCTGAGGTCTGCTCCATCCCACGCTGGGGATCACCTTGGGTACCTCTTTTCGGGCCATGGACACACATACGTGAAACCCAGGTGAGCCTGGGCCCCAGTGGACAGGCCCTGAGGCTTTGGCAGGCTGGGAGGAGGCAACAAGGCTGGCAGGCGGGAACAAGGCTGGGCCTGGGAAGAGCACCGTCCTGCCCTCCCACAGGCCGCATCGACTGTCAGCGCCACTGTGGTAAGGGAGGCTCCATCCGGGCTGAGGGGAGCGCCGGCGGCAGCTCGGGGCCCCGGAGGCCGAGATGAGCCCAGGGCGGCTGCGGTGTGTTGCAGGCATCTTCCAGTACGAGACCATCTCCTGCAGCAACTGCACAGACTCGCACGTCATCTGCTTTGGCTATAACTGCGAGTAGGGGCTCAGGCATCGCACCCGCCTATGCCAGGGCCCTGCTGTCCCTGGGGTCCCAGGCTCTCCTTGGAGGGGGCTCCCCGCCCTCCACCCGGCCCTCGTCACTGGGATAGGGCAGGGTCTGGGGCTCAGGGGCGCACCACCTCCAAACCCACGTCCCACAGGTCCTCGGAGCAGTGGAAGTCAGCGGTCCAGGGCCTCTTGAACTACATGTGAGTGGGGTCTTCAGGCGGCGGCAAGCTTGCCACCTGGGCTTTGGAGGAAACTCTGCCCATGGCCACTCAGCCTCCTGAGTCCAAACCTGTTGTCCTTGTAGAAATAACTGGCACAAGTAAGTCCCCTCCTCCAACCCGACACAGGCTGTGTGTTTGTGTGAGCACCTTGTGGGTGAGTAGGTATGGGGCGCAGGTGGACCCCCTCAGCTTCTGCCTCCTAGAGGGGCCTGGAGGAGGCAGGACCTCACCCCAGCTCTGTGCAGGAGGCGACCGCAGCCCCTTTCTCCCTCGAGGGTCTCCGACCCTCAGCTGGAGGGCCTCATCTGGCTTAACAGGTCCCCATAGGGTCTGATCCCACCCCTGCCCCAGGTCTGTGTTCAAGCCTGGGAGGGTTCCCCATGATGGTTAGGGGTGCCCCATGGAGGAGTCTGACTGCCCCATCTTGCCTTTCAGACAGGACATGAGCATGAGGTAAGGCCGCCCTTGCCTGGCCTTCAGGGGGAGGCGGTAAAGGGAGAGAAGAGGGGGTGCCAGGGGTCCTCTAGGTCAGTGGAGCACCGCAGGTGGGGATCTCCTTATGCCTGGGACACCTGCTGGATGCCACCTCTGCAACCACACCCGTGTGGTGCTTTCATGAACAAACCACGCTCTTCCTCCTCCTCCTGGCTCGGGACGCACAGAGCCACCCCAGCCTTGTGAGTGACCCGGAGAAAGGAGGCCTTGGGAGAAGGGGTGCATCTAAGTCAACAGCAGCGTGCCGTGGCCCCCACACCCTTCTGAAGTCCCAGGCACACGGGTGTTGTTGTGGATGTGGCCACACACAGGACCACACGTCCCAGCTGAGAGGAGACCTGGGGTGCCCCCAGCAAACACCCCCAGGGAGGGAGGTGGGGAGTGGGGGGCAGGGAGAGCTGAGGCGGCCTCATCTCCCCGCAGCCTGGTATCGCCAGCCTTCAGGTGTCTGGAGTCCCGACGCCTGGACAATCTGACCTTGGAAAATGCCGTCGAGTGTTTCAAGCAGCACTGACGGCGCTGGGCCTGCCCCCACACAACATGGGGACCGGGACTCAGCCCCCTCCTGTCCTTCTGGAGCTGGGTGGCTGCTGCCTTAGGTCCCCCTCCACCCTGGACTCAGCCCGAGCTGGCCCGGGCCGGGAGGGTGGGGATGCGGGTGGGCTGCACTGGGCATCGGCACCTGGGCAGGTCCACGGAGCTCTGGAATGTGGTGATTAAAGTCCCTGATGTTTCTCCTTGCAGAAGAGTTCTTGCCAGGGCAGGAGGAAGCCTCTGGGGGCTGGAGATGGGCTTCTGGGGAGGCCTAAATGTCCTCGACAGAGCACGGCGTTTCCTAGCCTTGGGTCCACGACCACGGGGGACCCACTCAGAGCCACACTCACAGGGCCTCAGGGAGCGTCCTCGGACTCCCACGTGTGGGGCCTTGGCCCCCCCGAGTGCACATGGGTAGACTCACACAAGCCCAGAGCACCTGGTTCTTCCGTGCAAAGCGAGGCCACAGTGTCGGGGAGAGCAGGGCCACCCCTAGCGTGTCTGAGTGTTGCAGTCACTTATGTCAGACCTCAGCCAAGGAACGCAGGAACCGTGGGCTGTGTCGAATCATCTCTGTGGCAACAACAGGTGTGGCATCATGGCCAGAGGCGGGGCTCCTGATGCCCAGGAGGGAGGGGACTCATCCCATCTGTGTGGCGATGCAGTTCCAAGTTCCATTCTCACTCAGGTGACCTCGGGGGTCTCCTCGCTTCCTCGGGCGTCCCTCTGTTCCAGCACTGGGGTGGATGCAGGACACTGGTGAGAACATCGCTGGGCACACTGCTGCTGCCAACATGGTCCCATGCACCGTCTTGTGGCTGCCTCAGGCCCCCATCACAGGAGGCGTGCACGCAACACTTGCTGAGGTCAGGAATGGCTTGTGGGAAGGTGGCCAAGCACCCAGGCTCTGTGGGACACTGGAGCCACAGGCGTGGGGGGGAAAACTCGGTAGTGGCCACTGCGGGCAGCATCAGGAGTGATGGTGCTGGGTCTCGGCTGTTAATGCCTTGGCCTGGCTGTGAAGGATGCTTCCTCTGAGGTCGTTGAGTGTGTTTAGATAACAGGAAAGAGACTGATTTCTTTTTTTCGTTTTTTTGAGATAGATCTCGCTCTGTGGCCCCGGCTGGAGAGGTGGTGCAATCTGGGATCACTGCAACCCTCTGCCTCCTGGGTTCAGGCGATTCTCCTGCCTCAGCCTCCCGAGTAGCTGGGACTACAGATGTGCACCACCACGCCTGGCTAATTTTTGTATTTTCAGTAGAGATGGGGTTTCACCATGTTGGCCAGGATGGTCTCAATCTCCTGACCTCGTGATTTGCCTGCCTTGGCCTCTTAAAGTGCTGGGATTATAGGTGTGAGCCACTGTGTCTGGTCTTTTTTATTATTATTATTATTATTTTTGAGATGGAGTCTCTCTCAGTGGTGAGAGTGCAGTGGTGTGACCTGGGCTCACTGCAACCTCCGCATCCTGGGTTCAAGTGATTCTCCTGTCTCAGCCTGCATACTAGCTTGGACTACAGGTGCCCGCCACCATGCCCAGCTAATATTTGCAGTTTTAGTACAGACTGGCTTTCACCATGTTGGCCAGGATGGTCGCAATTTCTTCACCTCGTGATCCACCCCCCTTGACCTCCCCAAAGTGCTGGGATGACAGGTGTGAGCCACCGTGCCAGGTTGGTCAGGCATGGTTTTCTAAAAGGGACGCTGGTGTGGGTGGGACTGGGATCCTGTCTGTGCTGCTCTGACCCCCTGCCATGAAAAAGCCCGCCACCATGCCTGCGTCTTGGGTTAGAGTTGACGGGGCTTCCCTCCACTGACCCAGCATCACCTTGTTCAAGGGTCGCGTCTTCAAGGTATAAGGCCAAAGTGGGTATAAAGGAGGTAAATTCACCCAGGGGCAGGAGTGGCCGCTCTTCCGAAGTTCTCAATTCTGGATCTGTCCCTGCCCCGAGGGGCTCCTGGGAAAGGGGAGAGAGAGTAGGCACCTGCTCCCCTGCACGGCGTTGTGGGGAGATGCTGTGGCTCCTACTGCGGGGTCGGGGATTCCTGGGCCTGTGACTGCCTGAGCCCGAGACCTGGATGGTGCTGGGGACCAAGGCCACCTCCTAAGGGCCCAAGATCTGAGGCGCAGAGGCTCCGGCCCTGCAGCGCCGCGTGACGCAGGCCAGGCAGAAGACCCCACGTGGAAATGCCTGTTTTACAACTTTATTGGATCATCTTGACACAAAATCATGACAGCAGCGTGATTATGTCTCTCTCTCCTTTATACGGGAATGTCGATAGCAAATAAATTCTTATGTAACACATCATACAATTTCAAATCCTAGAATCACTGCACAGGATTCTGTAATAGATTACATGCTAAAGTGACAGTTTTCATCAAAAGGAAAGAAAATTTCATCTCTGAGGAAGGGTCAGTCCTGTGCCCACACTGGCTGTGGGGAGTGAGTGGGGTCCCCCTGCCTACCTGGTGGGGGCTCTGCCGGTGGGGCGGCTCTCACAGGTCCTGCCAAGGGCACTGGGCAGACTCCACGCCAGGCCAAAGGCCTGGGTCTGCTGCTCCTAGTCCCTGCCCGGGCCTTCCTGAGGGTGCTGGGAAGGATGTGGGGCAACCGTGGCGTATACAGCGGCAAGCGGTAGACTTGGCCACATGCCCCCACCCCGAACCCAAGCCCGCTGAGAGACACTTCTGCTGACCAGGAAGAATGGTGGCAGAGAGGCTGCCTCCAGCCCCGCCATCGTTCTGACTGCAGCCTCTCTGGGTGCCCCGGCCCCTCCTTGCCCACAGCCTGGCATCCCAGGGTCTGGCCACCAGCCCACGAGAACAGTGACAATGGACAATGGCCAACAGGACTGCTTTCCCACTGCGCGTTCTGGGAGGGAACCTTGGCGACAACGGCCCTTCCTTCCCCTCCCCTGGACACCACCGTCAAGGTGTTTGGGACAAAAGCAGGCAGCCCCAGAGGAGGCCATGTCAGTCCCACCCTGTCCACCAAGTGCCCCCCACGTGGTGCCCATAAGGTCCTGGCCCAGGCCAGGAGCCCCTGAAGCCACATTCAAGGACTTGGCCCCCAGCACAGGGCAGGGCATGGACCCAGGCAGGGGAGTCCCTTGCTGATTTGGGGACAAGAAGGGGACTTCTTGCCAAAAAGAGCGGGAAGAGTCACAGTAAAAAAGGATGGTCAGGTAATTTAACTCAACATATGACTTCCGATGTCTACACAGAGGACGACATGGAGTTAAATTAACACTCAGGCTTGGGTACAGTACACACGACCGACGAGAGGTGAGACTCGTCAGGGCTGCGGTCCCTGGGCGCGTGCTCCGCGGGGTGGGCGGGGCTCGCAGGCAGCTCTCAACACTTGGCCAGCGTCGCCTTCATCTCTTCTAACAAGTTGCTAAGCAGCGTGGAGTCGCTGCACTTCCCGTCGACCGAGACAGAGTTCTCACCCTGTGTAACGAAAAAGACTGGTATTTTTAAAAGTATGTGCAAGGGCGGGGTGCGGTGGCTCACGCCTGTAATCCCAGCACTTTGGGAGGCTGAGGCGGGCGGATCACGAGGTCGGGAGATCAAGACCATCCTGCCAGCATGGTGAAACCCCATCTCTACTAAAAATACAGAAATCAGCTGGGTGTGGTGGTGCACGTCTATAATCCCAACTACTCGGGAGGCTGAGGCAGGAGAACTGCTTGAACCCGGGAGGTAGAGGTTGCAGTGAGCTGAGATCATGCCACTATACTCCAGCCTGGCAACAGAGCAAGGCTCTGTCTAAAAAAAAAAAAAAACAAAACAAAAACAAAAACAAAAAACGTGTGTGCAGGGGTTGGGGGCGGTGGCTCACACCGGTAATCCAGCATTTGTGAGGGCTGTGGTGGGTGGATCACCTGAGGTCAGGAGTTCGAGACCATTCGGACCAACATGGTGAAACCCCGTCTCTACTAAAAATAAGAAAAATTGGCCAGGCATCTGTGGTGGTGGGTGCCTCTAATCCCAGCTACTTGGGAAGCAGGAGAATCGCTAGAATCCGGGAGGCAGAGGTTGCAGTGAGCTGAGATCATGCCACTGTATTCCAGCCTGGGCAGTACATGTAGGTCAGACTGGGTGGCACACGCCTGTGGTCCCAGCTATGTGGGAGGCTGATGGGGGGATCGCTCGAGCCCAGGAGGGTGAAGTTGCAGTGGGCAGTGTTTGCACCACTGCACTCCAGCCTGGGCGACAGTGTGAGACCCTACCTCAAAAAAATTAAAGAAAAAAAAAACACTACACGCAAATATTGCCTCACAGCTGTATGTGTTGCACTTGTAATTTTGCAAATTTGCTAATTGTTAAAAAATAAAATGGGAGGGGCTCAGGTTAGGGAGTGGCCCACGCACCCCGGTCTCCCATGGGAGGCTCCGGCCTGCATGGAAGTGGGAGCCGGCACCTGAGGGCCCTGCCAGAGGCAGATGGGGACGAGACCAGACGCCAAGGAGCTCCTGGGCTGGCAGCAAGCTGAGTGTTTTCTGTCTTCCTGCCCTCCTGTCACTGGGCCCAAAAGCAGGTGCGACTGTGGAAGCAGCCAGGGGAGCTGGGTAACCAGAGCCCCCAGAGGGGGAGGTGCGTAGGGAAACCCCGTGAAGCTGCTCACAACCTGCTGGGCTGACCCCACGCTGTGGGTCCCGCCCCACAGAGCAACTGAAGGCAATAGAGCCCATAGGCCGCTGCCGGTCCCACCAGGCCAGGGACAACAGGACAGAGGCGGGGCAGGCGGGGATGCACCCGGGGTCACAGCTCCTAGAAGGCAGGGGTGACTTGCAGCTGGGACCTGACCACCCACGTCCTCCACAGGATGGAACAAGGCCCAGCGGCTCAAAGACCAGGAGAATCCCCTCCCAAGGACAGGCCCTCAGCAGACCCCAGCGCCAAGGCACTCATGGTAAGGCCATCAGCAGACTGCAATGCCAAGACCACAACGCCCAGACGCCAACACCAAGGCATGAACGCCAAGGCCATCAGCAGACACCCATACCAAGGCCGTTGGCACACCAATGCCAAGGCGGACAGACACTAGGACTCTCAGACACAGGATTTGTTTTTTTTGAGTCTCTCTTGCCCAGGATGGAGTGCAGGGGCACAGTCACGGCTCACTGCAGCTTTGCACTCCTAGGCTCAAGAGATCCTCCCACCACAGCCTCCCAAGTAGGAGTGACTACAGGCTCACT